AGGTCTTTGTGAAAATCCTTGTGCCACAAATCGTGCTTTCTATCTAACGACTTCATTTTTATCATTTTGTTTTCGCACAAAAATCCATTTGTATCCCACTGACTTTATTCCTTTAGGTGTTCGGACTATACGTCTAAATACTTCACGTTTTTCAAGTGAAGCTAATTATATCTGGATAGCGTCTTTCCATTTTGGCCAATCATTTCTCTGTCTACATTCATCGATAGATTTTGGTTCAAGTCCTCATCTTGTTGCATTATCTCAACAGCAACATTATAAGCAAAAATGTTGTCGACAATAATACTATTTCAGTTTCACCTTTTTCCCATAGAGACATAACTTATTGAGATCTCTTCATTCGTATTATTTTCAAGTACCTGGACCTCCTCTGAGGTCTTATCATTTGTTATGTCACGGGCCTCTTTTTGAGCAATTGCCTCCATATTATGATCTCCTAGATCATTTGCTCCTTTTCGCTTTCAAGGATTTTTATCTTTGGAACCAATTGGTCTACCACGTTTTAAGCATGGCTTAGACTCATTTGTATTTATAGATTGTCCAACCGGGACATCAATTCGAACAGGAGAATTAACAGTTGGAATATGTGACTTAGTCACCCTTGCTAGGTTAGTGAATGCATATGAAAGTTGATTTGCAATATTTTGCAAATAAATTATCTTTTGAACCTCATGTTCACATTGATTTGTTCGAGAATCTAAGTGAGATTGTGATAATGCATTCCAATCTATCTCTTTTTGCAATTGCTTATTTTCTCCCCCTAATATTGGGTATACTGATTCATTAAAATGGCAATCAGCAAATCTTGCCGTAAATAAATCTCCAGTCATAGGTTCCAAATATTTTATAATAGAAAAAAATTCATACCCAACATATATCCCCAATCTTCTTTAGAGTCCCATCTTTGTGCGTTGTGGTGGAGCAATTGAAATATATACTGCATATCCAAATATTCTAAGATGGAAAGTATTTGGCTCCTGACCAAAAGCCAACTGTATTGGGGAGACTTTATGATAACTTGTGGGTCTGATCCGCACAAGAGCTGTTGCATGCAAAATAGCATAACCCCATACTGAAATGGAAAGTTTTGTTCTTATAAGCATTGGTCTAGCAATTAATTAGAGGCGTTTGATTAATGATTCCGCTAGACTATTTTGAGTATGAACATGAGTAACTGGATGCTCAATTGTTATCCCAGTTGATATGTAATAGTCATTAAAGCCTTGGGACGTAAATTCACCAGCATTATCAAGACGAAGTATCTTAATTGCATAATCTGGAAACTGTGCTCTTAATCTTATTAATTGAGCTAGTAACCTCGCAAAGGCCAAATTGCGGGTTCATAACAAGCACACATGTGACCATCTTGTAGATGCATCTATCAAAATCATATAATATCTGAATGGTCCACATGGAGGGTGTATGGGCCTACATATATCACCTTGTATACGTTCCAAAAATGAAGGAGATTCAACTCCAACTTTAATTACTGATGGTCTAATAATCAGTTTTCCTTGAGAACATGCAGCACAAGAGAATTCTTTAGTTTGAAGAATCTTCTGATTCTTCAATGAATGACCATATGAATTCTCAATTATTTTGCGCATCATATTATAACCGGGATGGCCAAACTGGTTATGCCAAATAATAAAAGCATTAGTAAACTCCTTGTTTACTATGGCATGTAATTCAACTACACTAATACTAGTGTAGTATAATCCGGAGGAAAATGCGGGAAGCTTTTCAAGCACATACTTCTTTTTCGCTTTTATTGTAGTAATATAGAGGTATTCAACCTTTCCTTCATTGGTGGTCTCAATATGATAGCCATTTTGACGAATATCTTTGAAACTCAACAAGTTTCTTTGAGACCTACTACAATATAATGCATCATTAACAACCAATATAGTTCCTCTTGGTAGTAATACAGTCGCTTTTCCAGAGCCCTCAATTAATTTTGTACTACCAGATATTGTTATGATATTGGCTTCTTTCATAATTAAATAAGAGAAATATCTCTTATCTTTTAATATGGTGTGCGTTGTAGCACTATCCATAAGACATATTTCTTCTTTATTATTCATATGGACAACTGAAGATTGGGAAGTTTTCATAATCCTCAAGAAGAAAAAGAAATACATCATAAGTAATATTGAAAAATTTAAGAACAAAAGAAACTACATTTATGAAATTAAATACTGACAACATAAAAAGTTTTATTCAAAATATGAACTTCATAAAAAGAAATAAATTCATTCTTATAATTTTTCCCAATAATAAGTCTTCAGTTATGATGCTCAAAGAAGTCTCCAGCTTCTAAATGAGTAATATCTGCAAGGCCTNAAGTTTTATTCAAAATATGAACTTCATAAAAAAATATATTTATTCTTATAATATTTCATAATAATAAGTCTTCAGTTATGATACTCAAAAAAGTCTCCAGCTTCTAAATGAGTAATATCTGCAAGGCCTTCAAAAATTTCATCTTTATAGGCAAGGTTTGCTTCAACTTTATCATGATTATCCATAGGGCCCGCCTCAACATCATTTTGAAAGGTCAAGTAAGTCTCTACTTTATTTTGTTTCCCTTTTATAGATGCTTAATAAAGTTTGACAAAATATTCAAGTGTACGACAAATTTATGCCCAATAATTTTTCATACCACATCGGTGGCAGATATTAACTTTGCCTTTTGAAGGATTATTCTGAGAACCCTTATTGTTCTTTTGTTTATAATGACCACCACCATGGCGATTATTATTTCGCCCCTTGATACGTCCACGTATATTTATACGACCACGATAATTATTTTATCTTTTTTCAGACTTTGGATCTATCGTTCCCAGATTCGCTTCTGGAAATAGAGCTGATCCAGTGGGGCGGGCTTCATAATTTTTCATTAAAAGGGCATTATGTTGTTCAGCCACCAAAAGGCATGAAATAAACTCAGAATATTTCTTAAATCCCTTTTCACGGCACCATATTTGAGACATGAAAAGTAGAAAGGGTCTTTTCTAACATGTCCTCATCATTCATAGGTTCCCCACATAATTTTAGTTGGAAAATTATTCTATATACAACATAATTATATTCACTTATGGTCTTATAATCTTGTAGCCGTAAGTGCATCCACTCACGATGAGATCTTGGCAATACCGTGGCCTTTAAGTGGTCATATCGTTCCTTCAAACTAGTCCATAGTTGAAACGGATCTTTCAAGGTTAAATATTCACTTTTTAACCCTTCATCGAGATGATGACGAAGGAAAATCATGGCTTTCGCCTTATCTTGACTTGATGCTTCATTTCCTTCTTTAATAGTGTCACCAAGACCTTTAGCGTCAAGGTGAATTTCAGCATCAAGTACCCATGGCAAATAGTTATTCCCAGAGATGTCAAGTGCCACAAATTCAAGTTTTGACAAATTTGACATAGTGAAAACTATCATAGAAAATAAGTGAATTAGAATGATAAGAATTATTATCAATGAAAAAAAATCAATGCATAATATAATCGTGTATTAACATTCTCTATATAATTGTTAGAACAAACAATTATGTGTAGTGCGATGATGAATTAGTACTTAATATTACACTCAAGAACTTTAGACATGTAAGTATATTTTCAGAGAATAAATAAGTTGAAGTACTCTCATTAAAAGGTACTAGTATATTTTGTTCTACTTAGAAAACGTTTCAATAAGTTAAGTAGGCATAAAACTAGATGATATCAATTCTGCCAAGTTTCAACATTGAATACGATTCATCTAATAGTTAAGTCATTAATTAGTTTGTACACTTAGATGATAAATTCATTGAAGATACGTTTAAACCTTTTGAAAATTTTGCAAGAATTCCTTCTCAATGCCTGTTCTGTTATAACATTTGGATGTGGGATTAATTAGTCTAATCATGGTAATTCAATTTATTACTTATCTATTTATGTATAGGTTTAAACTTCTTCGTAGATTATGTAATGAAATAACAATTTAACCGAAACTTATTGTTTTCATACCAAGGCAATTATTATAATCATATTCAAAACAAGTTATGCATATGGTAATTAAATTACAGGTTAAAGAAGATCCTAGTAGAAACGTTATAAACATAAGAATGTATACCTGAATCGAAAAAGAAATTAACTACCTCTTTTGAAAGAAGATAAAATTCGAATGAAGCAGATAACCTCAGTTGGTTAGAACTTCGTGTTGATAACGTATTAAGAAATGAGAGCAAACTAGAACAATATAGTAATGGAGACAAGATATACAGAAGGGAGAATAATTTTGTTATTTCTCTTCTTGGGAGTATTTTTCATAGGATCAAAAGTTCCCTATTTATAAAGGTACAAATACATTCAAAGGTTATAAGTTAATGTACTTCTTAATTGAGTACATGAATACAAAGTATGTTAAATGGATAGACAAATGCATTCATCTCAATCACTTGCATTCATCTCATAATAACAGATTTTTATATTTATGTTATAATTAATAATATGTGTATTGTGTAATATAATATATATTTCGATACGGTATCGGTATTTTATTTTAAAATACCAAATGTCATACCTAATACTAATATTTTTTAAAATTTAAACTAAATACCATACCGAATACTAAATACCAAAATTTTTTATTTTCGGTACGGTAATTTCATATTTACCAAATTATCCACCGCCCTAAATGGACATAGCGGAGATTGGAGAAGAGCGGGGAAGGTTATTAATGTTTTTTATGAATGCAATGAAAATGTGTGAGATTTGGAATGCGAAATTGCAAATACAAATCCAGAAATAAAATTACTATTCAATCAATGACATCAGTTGCTAAAACTTGTGGTTTTAAGTTCAACCGTTAGTACAAATAGGATTTGACATTCTTTTAGAAAAAATCTATACTATGAAATCTGTAGTACTATAATTAAGATGAAATCCAAGAAATGTGATTGGCTGAAGCAAGATGCGAAGTGGCGAAACTAAACCACAACCACGAAACCAAGACATCAAATATGGCCCAATTTAACTGAGTTTTGAAAATTTGCCACTCTCTATATTGTGCCCGTCTCTTCTGCTTCAATGGCTTCCTCTTTCTCACTTCATCAACATATCTATTGTTTATCTCCAACTCCTACTACTCTTGGTTTCACCAAATGTCCGCTTCACATCTTCACTCTTTTTCCTACACCATCTTCTCGCAACAATTTCCTCGAATTCGATTCTCGTAGAAGAAGAGTGCCATTTGCTGTTACAGAATCAGATTCCTCTAAATCTCTCGAACCAGATCCTCAAATTCTTCTGCAAGACGTTGCCGTAAGACCCACACTCATTTCATTTTTGATTCAGTATTTGTAATTGGGGTTCCCTTGTGCCATGAGTGTTATGTTAATTAAGTCCCTTCATTAATTTTCCTCTGCTTTTTTTTTCAGGACAGTTTTGTGCTACCTGCAGATTATTTTTCCCAGCTTCCTCGTGATCTTCGCTTAGATGTAAGTTAATTTTTTTGTGTAGTTTATTTTCTTCTCATGTGTGTAGTTAGTCATATTTAGTACAATGCATTTTGTATCTTGGAACTGTTTTGTTGATTTTATTTTGAACAGTAGCTGATGAATTTATCTGTTTATTGAATGGTTATGACATTTTGAAACTGTACCAACCGTCAAAATAACTCCTTATGTTATCTGAATCAGAAATTGTTCCATGTTAAATAATCCATAATAGGCTTGTTCTATCACTAGAACAAATAAATAGCATTGTCTAATACATCATTCCAAGTTGCAACTTATCACTCTTTTGAGAAGTGTTCCAACACACACTCAAGCATTTTTTGCTCTTTAGTCATCCTTTTTTTTTGTTTTTTTTTTGTTTTTATACGCGTCAAGCACTCTTGGCCCTTTAGTAATTTTCTTTCTTATGACAGTGGAAACAAAATTGCAAGTTGGAGTGATATAGCAGAGTAAAATCGGGTCGTAAAATACTTGTTGTAACTTTTTGTCGGGTAATTTTCTTTTTCTCTGTCACTGGCAATGTTGCTTTGGCTCTAGTATTGTTGCCTTCCTACTATGCCCAGGGTCATTTGTGTAACTTTTGAATATTCAATATGGTTTGTTTAGTGGTCTGGATGTTTGGGTTTGATTTGCATCGTTGAAGGGGGTGGGGCGTTTATTGTTTTGTTTAAGTCCTGACTAATAAAATTTGAACATGGTGTAGCTGAACGATGCAGCATTTGATCTTTCAAATGGGCCAATTAAAGATGAGGTTAGTACCTATACTGGTTATTTCTTTTTAAACTTCTTTACAATGTTTAATATCTCAATCATGAAACTGATAAAACTTGGATCAGCAATATGATTTGGCTAGTTGTACTATTCAAAATTAATCTATAGGATGTTACTATTGGCGCTTTAAACTTTAATCATCCAAGGGATAGGCGTTCTATATTTGGCATCTTCACATTATAGAACAAGTGTCTTATATGATCTGATAGCAGCTATTAGTTGTGTACTCAAGTTTCTTGTTCAGTCACGGCTGGATACTTTCTGCTAAAAAATTGTTCATGCTCATTATGACTACAAAACCTCCCGTCTCAGATGAATACAGGAAATGAATCTTGACAGGGGTTTGCCATTCATCACATGTTCAGACATGTTTCTCTGGATATGCTTCCTCATTTTTTGCCAATATTCTATTGTTAAGAGACTATGAAGAGGGTCCTTTTTGGAAAGTTAAATAGAACATAAAATTGAATATTGCTCGGCACTAGAGTAACCTGAGACTGGATTGATGGACAACAACAACAACATACCCAGTATAATCCCACAAGTGGGGTTTGGGGAGGGTAGTGTGTACGCAGACGTTACCCCTACCTGGCGAGCTGAGAGGCTGTTTCCAATAGACCATCGGCTCAAGAAAAGGTGAAAAGAGAGAAAGGAAGAAGACGAAGAAGAAAGAGGAAGAAGAAAGAAAGAATAGGGGGACAAAGGACGATAAGGAAAAGGGGAAAAAGACAACTACAGTAACAACAACAACAACAACAACAACAACAACGAAACAACAAGTAAAAGAAAAAAATAGCATCAAATAGTAACAAACTGGAAAATACGATACACAGAGCGAACAAAAAAAAAACAAGGGAGCTACTAATACTACTAAAAAAGAACGGGGAACTCTCGACTACCTACTAGCCAACTATCCTAATCTTCGACCTCCACACCCTTCTATCCTGGGTCATGTCCTCAGTGAGCTGAAGTAATGCCATATCCTGCCTAATCGCCTCTCTCCAATACTTCTTCGGCCTTCCTCTACCCCTTCTCAGCCCCGCCACGGCCAGCCTCTCACACCTCCTAACAGGAGCATCCGTATTTCTCCTCTGCACGTGCCCGAACCATCTCAGCCTCAACTCCCGCATCTTGTCCTCCACGGGGGCCACTCCCACTTTGTCCCTAATAACTTCGTTCCTAGTCTTATCTCTCCTAGTATGCCCACATATCCATCTCAGTATCCTCATTTCTGCTACTTTCATCCTCTGAACATTTGATGGACATATTGGAAAAACAGAAAAAAAAACCATGGTTTTTTGTCATGTAATTAACAGTAAGATGATAAAAGCTGCAATATGCTTCTGATGGTATAAAAGAAAGGTACCTCCTATTTTTTCTAAAGATGTCCTCAATGGGATATCCAGAAAAGAATAAAATAACTTTCAACAGTTTCAGTAGTCATCCAACTGGATTTTTTCTGTATTTCGGTCTTAAACAAGTTGATTAATCATCTTTGCCCTTGTTCAGCTATGGTTTCTTTTTTCCCCCAATATGCTGTTGTTAACTGATTCTGTTCCCCTTTATGTAAATTTGAATTTTGAAACTATCAAGTATCAAGCTACCCTTATAACAATAGAGGATGGAAGAAAGCAAAACTCACTGAGAGAAGCACAATACAGATGATCGTTTAATTTTGCATTTGTAGTGTGGTGAGGAGGTGGGAGAGACATTATTAAATATAAGCCGAGCATGGGAACGGGCTGATACATCAACATCCACAGCTTTAGTGAACAGGCTGCCTCTATTGGTTGGCTCATTGTCAGGCTATCAAAAATCAGGCAAGAAAGAGTCTACAGCTATGATGCTTTACTTCTTATTTTTAACAAGCAAATTGAATTCCTTTTTCCATCTGAATTTAATTCTTATTACTAGTTAGCACTTGGAAGGCGCTTGTTATCAGCTGGAAGAAGGTTCCAGTCCATGGGACAATATGGAGAAGGTGAAGTACAGAAGGTAATTTATATAATTTCCATGCAACTTTTTAAGTGTTAAAAGAATATATTCCCTAAATCTTTTGAATATAGGAGTAAAGGTCATCCATTTACATAAGAAAAATAATATTTTTTTTTGAAATGGCATAAGAAAAAGAATTATCCTCTTTTTTTCATGTTGTTGTGTTTGTCTGCTGCAAAGGAAACATAGTTGATCTCTCTGCATATTTTCCTTTTTCCCCCTTTTGTTTTCATGGTTGTATGTGGCTCTGAGCCAATGGCGAAGGGGTTGATCTCTCCACATATACAATGATTTTTTTAGGGATTAAACTTTACCTTAAAATCATCAGTTGTTGATTATCCGTGTGCTATTTTGGAGGTGAATGAGTTAGAGGCGGGACACTGATATGGGAAAAGGACATGGTTCAGTGTTTGGATGAGGACAGAGGGTGTAAGAGTTAGAGGCGGGACACTGATATTTCTACTTTTGTTTTGCTGCTGTTTCTTGTTTGCTTTTTATCGTAGTTTCATCTGTTAATCTAGCGCCTTGATTAGATGACGGTTTTGTAGCGCCTTAGCTTCTCAATTTTTTTATTTTAACAATCCCTGGCATGTCTGATGGTCTCATCTCTGTCAATGATCTCCTTATACTTGAACGTTAAAGTAAGTTCTGGACTTGCTCTGATTGCCATGGTCATGCCCTCGGCCTGTAGCGCTCTCCTAGTATGCCCACACTGAGCAAGACATATGTTATGGGGATCTTGCCCTATGCTGCACAGCTCTCTCAGGAAAAATAAACATTTTGAATTTGGTAATCTGAGCAAGACATATGTTATGGGGGTCTTTGAAGAATTATAGCGCATCTCTCAGATCTAATAGCCTGGATAATGATGGGAAACATCCAGTGGTTACGTATGAGTGGCACTCATTTGAGGGGCTTATACATGCAGCTTGTTCCTCAAGTTTTACCCAGATTAATCTCTTCGCTTCGAGGCAACTGGGTGAAATAACTGAGAACTGTTGTCAGATATAATTTATTCTGCAATAGCACTCTAATTGATACATCCAATTATTTCTTTGCTCCTAAATTTTGATACTTGATCACTATAGATTGCTAAAGTAATGATAAAGACTGGGAGGCTATTGTCTGCAAGTCCAGTATCTGGGATTACTGGTGAAGAACCTAAGCAGCAAACCAGGACATTTAAGGTATTAAATGGTGCATTGATACTTTTTTTGCAAACTTGCATTTGATGCACTTTATCCTAAGAGCATTTTGCTTCAGTTTGGGGAGCTTCAGGTTGAATTGACCCCAGGAAAAGCCTACGTTGGAGCTGGCATTGCATTTATCTTTGGGTAATTGTTTCTTTTGAACCGCAACCTCTATATCTTTCATCGAAGGTTGTTTAAGAATTCCATGTCTGCTATTTGGAATACAGTTTACTTTCTTGGAAATTAAGTCAAGGCGTAGAGAGCATACAAGAGAGCTCCTTACAGTATGCAAATGACAATGCTTTGTTGCTTGCTAAGGTAACTAACTCGAAAACCACTCATATTTATATTTGTCTCTGTGTTGGTATTTATGAAATAGTGTTGGTGCAGTCCCTGCGAGGAGTTCTGCTTGTAATGTCCTATTCATCAACCATTTTATCTGCTTTTTCAACTGTGGGACTTATCTTGCTTGGGGGCCAACTTAAGTCGGAAAATAAGTGAAAAGTAAGTGAAGTTTTTGCCTCCTTTCTTTCTTTATCTTTTTTGACAGGTCGGGCCCTTTGTGGTTTTGTGTGTGGGTGTGTGTGTGTGTGGGGGGGGGGGGGGGGGGGGGCATTCTTTTGTGGCTGGATTATGACTCTGAAATGACAAAAAGAACTCGTCGAAGAAGTTAAAATAATTCTATTTCTGATACAATCTTTCTGCTGTGTGACAAATTTAAAACACTTTATTACTAGGTTTTTCTTTTGTTTCCTCTCAAAAGTAAGATTCTGCAGATGGTCATGATATCTTAGATGATAATATTGGAAATACTTCCATTTATTAAGCTTTGATTTTCTATGGTAGTTTATAGTAGAACATTTGACCTGATTCAGGAAAAAGTATTAATTTTTCTGAGAATTTCTAAACAAGACCAGAAATGCCCACATCTGCAAGAACGTTCAAGTAGCACATATCAACGATAAAATGAGAGAGTCGCTTGAGATGATTTGGGCATGTCTTGCACCGATCACTAGATGCACTGGTCCATAGATGTGAAACCATGATAAGTGAAGGTATTAAAAGGGGACGAGGTAGACCTAAAATCACTTGGAAGGAAGTTGTCTTGAAGGATATCCAATTGCAAACTAAGCGAAAAATATTGCACAATGGAAGAAAAGAATCTATATAGCACTGTTGTCACATGCTAAAAGCGTTAAAAAGCCCTCTAGGTCTATCAGGGATTTAAGTACAAAGCAGAATTGAAGTATGGGATGGAATTGCACAATTATATGTAATGCAAGAAAAAAGTAACACCTTCATTCATAATGATCACCTTAACAATTAATATATCTTTTTTGCCGTTCCTATTTATCGTTTAGCACCGCTATATTCAAAATAGAACATATGGGCAATGAAGTGCATGCCTTAATACTTGTCTACACTAAAGCGCGGCCTAAGTGCTGTGAGGCGCCTATCCTGAGCTTCAGCAGGGCTTAAGCGCGCCTCAAATAAGAGTCTTTGATAACACTGCTACATAGGCACTACCTATTAGTTGAGAATATGTTTTAGTCATGTTAGCATTGTTACTTTACATCCTATATTTTTCTAGGAGTTGTTTAGCGTCTTAGAGATTTACACGTCAGTAGAAAATATAAAAAACTTCTAGTACCTTTTATTTTTATTTTTATTTTATTTGTATGATATTGGTTTGAGAAGAGTTCATATGGAGTAACATGGTCAATGAGGATTCATATAGCCGAACGCAACTTATTTAGAACTGAGGCGTAGTTGTTTGTGTTGCTTTACAGATGAACATGTATGATGCCAAACAAGAGGTATAGTTTTCCGTCTATGTAAAGGACAATAGGTTTCTTAACTGTTGAGGGGAGACTTAAAAGCTACTTCCGTGAGGGATGGCTAGTTCTATATGGTGTAATCAGCCTATAGACTCCCTAAAATAACAACATAGGTAATCAAGTACAGGACAAAGAGAATTGATTTGATTATGACAGTACTAAGTTGTATAGAGATCATGTCTTGTTGCCTTAAGTGCAGATATGTGCTAGAGATTTAGAGTAGAGTTTATAACTTCCTTCTAACACCTATTATGCATATAAAGTATACAAGTAGTGCTGTTAAACATTTGAATTTGTGGGTTAGTTCATATAGGCACAATAGTAAAACAAATAAATTCTCTGAAAATTCTAATAAATTGATTTGAAAAGTTAGATATAACAAAAAGATCACTTCATAAATAGCTCAATTTTGTCTTCAGCAAAATACAAGGGCTCAATAATTTTGTTTAAACGGAACGCAATGTAGCAAAAGCAAAATAATTGCACCTTGGTTTGTCCTTTCAATAAAAATTTAAAACACCATTATCCAATAATAGAAGCTTAAGGTCAGGAAAAAAAAGATAGAATTACTATGGGGTCTCGGAGGGGGAGATGTAAGAAAATTTACCAACTTGCTGGTTGGTCCATGTCTGCTGAAAACTGTATTGTCTATGTCTATTCGTGATACGGATACCCTGAGAATCTGGCAAAATCCTGCATCATTGCATATTTCAGGTTCTAGTTCTCGTATACGTTTAGCAGTACAACTAGAAATTGAAGAATATTGTAGCTGTAAGGGCAGCAATTATCAGGCTAGAGAATGCACCACTCATTTCAGTTGAACGATCCTTGAGATACCTTCATGGGACACTTTCCATTCACTTGTGCAAGACTCCAATTCTTTTTCGATGATCTTTTGTTTACATCTATGAAAGGATGTCATACTACTGTCTGTGTGGCATGTTGATTTTCTTGCTTATCTATACTATATTAAAAGTAGCGAAACATCAAAAGTAGCGAAACATCGTTCGCCTTTTTTACCCTTTAAAAATAGCTTTCATATTAGACAAAGTTGTAATTTAATTATTCTCCTAATATGTAAGATTTTAAAATCAAATAAAATTTTGGTTATTAAATCTTTCCTTATTTGAACTATGTAGAAACTCATAATATTTAGAACTATTGAAATTTATTATAAATAAATAACTTTGACTTTTCTAGATCCTTACTCCAAAATTTAGAAAAAAATAACTAATTTGAATTAAACTATAATTCCTTCAAAATGCGTAAGAAAGAAATTGTATCTACTTTTGCCTTTGAATTATGTTCGTTTATAACAACCAAGCGGTAGCCAAGGGTCTCTAACAAATTTTATTATTAATTTGATTCCTTTGAAATAACTTTTTAGAAAAAAAGTATCCTAAATGTAAATAAAAAAGAAAATTATCTTTTTAAGAAGGAATAAAGTTGTCATTAAAGTATTTAGTAATTCCTAATTTAAATAAAAAAGAAATTTATTACTATAATTACAATTTTGCCTAATATGAATTATGAAATACACTTTAATTTACATGGTTAAAAGAAAAATAGAACATTCGTAAAATTCTAATATAAATAAAAAAGGTAAAAAGATACCCTAAATTTCCTACCATAAATAAATGAGGAAAATAGTTTTCAAGAAGGAATCAAATTGTCTTTAATTTCTAAAATCTAGGTTAAATAAATGAGAAAATATCTTTTCAAGAAGGAATCAATCATTTGCAATTCCAAATTCGAGGCAACTTTGCTAATTATCAAACAAAAACTTATGAATGGTTTATTTACCTTTTTAATTACTCCTAACATTTTGAATTTTACAAATGTTATGTTTTTATATTGAACATAATTTCATTTTTTTTGGAATGTGCCAAGTTCATATAATTCAATGTAAGAAACGGACCATCCTTGCTCTTTTATAAAATTATAGTTAATGTGTCTTTGTCTCCAAAACTAGAATATTATAACACAAACAATTATTTATGGATGAGCATATCTTTTTGTAACGTTGATAGATCATATTAACCTTCAATGATGTACTATTTCTTCAAAACATTATACATACAAAATTATAAAATTATTTAATAATGAATAATAGATAAAACTATAGTATATTCATGGTTCCTTTTATAATTGCAATGATTCTCTTTATTGTTCATTTTCTTAGAATCATACAAGCTTGTTACATTCAGCTTAACCTTATAAGTTGTTTCCTATAAAGAAGTTTAGATGTTACAGTCTGACTTACATACTGTCGTGAGTAATGCTAATACAAATTAACATATTCTGTTTATTCTAAGCTTTTAAACTAAATAGAAAGCCCATGTATCTGAAATCCAATAAGACATATCGGGACTTTGTGGGGTGACGTTTCTTTTCATATAGAATTATTTAAACAAAATTAACATTCATATTTTAGGAAGTTAACTATTTCCTTTAGTTTTATTCTATAAATCAAGATATTTTTAATAATATTTATGTAATTTTTAAAAAGATTTTGATCGTAACATGGGTTACATGCGCAACGCGCGTACCCTAAGACTAGTCTATCAAAAGAACACTGTCCTATATGACATGCAATAAACTTATCTGATTGGTTTAGCTTTTCTTTTAGTCCAATCCTGTGAGCTGTTCATCTTGGTGTACTTTTGCTTTTATAAAACTAGTTTTTGGACACGTACGTTGTACGTGTATCCACGTCAATAAATACAAACAATATAAATTGGAAGATTTGTACCAAAAAACAAAGAAAATAAACCTTCATAAAAGAATATTAAACATCAAAATGTGATATCCACATATATTAAGAACAAAAACAGCACAAACTGTTTATAGCTCTTGTTAGGTAACTTAGAGGGATAAATTCAAATTTCATATAATTCTATACTCAATTTGAAATGGGTTATAGTGATTTGTCTTAGTTTAAAAATAAAACGACTGATCTCAAATAAATGTTAATAGAAAAAAATGATATAAACATAGTGCTTGGGAAAATAACTACTTGAACATCGGATAAGAAAGAGAAATATGCGTCAGTATCAACCTAAAATACAATTAATAAACAAAAATGCTAGCTACTGATGAGGGAGAAATAGGACGGAATAAACATTTTCCCATCCCATGATATTTATATTTTAAAATTTCATATAATTGTTTTCCACACGAGCAATGATGGCATGAACATACCTGCAGTTTGTGAGCAATTCAGTCTTAACAATCAATATTTTACAATAATTGCAAAGGCTAGTTGTTAGTACGAATTTGTAAATGTTAGCCATGATAAACATACCAAGACCAAATATTGCGTCTAGTCAAAGAGTGGATATTCATGATATAACTATAATAGCAAGCATCTCAATATTCCACCTAACTAAACATTCAGAGAAAATTTAAAATACTTAAAATAGAGCAAAAGAAGTACAACAAACCCATAAACAATACAGGCGTTTGAAGACTCCATTTCATGTTTTGGGTTTCAGATACCTTAAAAACACTTTGTATCTCATATAGAATGTTATCGATCGTCCAATTCTCCGCTTCGTTATTTGATCTTTGTTCCTTGCATACACATTTGTTGCTACTTGCAAATGTTGAAGTACTGTGGATAATAACTTGACGTAGGAATTTGATGGGTTATGGAAGCTAGTTAAGAAAATTAAAGAGGAGGAAGAGTGGGAGGCTAATTAAGAGGTAGTATTAAAGAAGTAACTATTGATATATTAGACAATGGAAAAAAGAAAAACAATGACTATTGAGTTCTTCATAATATTGCATAGTTAACGTAAAATCATTAAGTAGAGGGTACTTTAGTCATTCAGCTTTTGAAGGATATTTTAGTAAGATAAGTTAACCTCTTCACACTTATGATAATTATTAAGGAGTAAAAATTATCAGTTCGAGCCAGAGGATTGTCTCCACCTTGTTGTCTTTCCTTTTATCGTTCTAAGCGGCTTTGTAGCTCTTGTACCTACTCAATGTTGAAGTGTTTCATATATCAATATGTATTTCGCTTGCACTTTTCCAGTTAGTAATATGGTTTCGATTTTGGATTGCCATTCCTCTATAGAAATCACCGGGTATTTCATCACTTTTGATACTGATATCCTGTTCACATTCTGTGTTTTCTTTAGGGGCTCATCTATTTTCTTTTTCTTTTCTTAGGGATCTTCCAGTTACTGACAGAATAAATGCGAACCAACCCCTCGCCTTGAATTTCCATGGTATCAGTGTTGAATGACAGATCATCTTACTTGTGAAGATGGTGGCCTCCATAAATTTGAGTATATTAGAGGTTTTCTGGCTGTAGCTTTAAAGTTGCATCTCTGTGTCTATCTTGCTGTCTGCATAGCTTCTTCCTTGTAAATGTTGTTTTGGCTCCTTGTATATTAAGTCTGTTAAATATTCATACTTTTCAATGTCCAAATCATATGTAAGTTTTTCCTTTCAGCCACAACTTCTTTCAGTCAATGTATCAGATTCCATCTGATCTTGTTGAATGCGTTCCTCTTCCTTAGGTGGGATGCTTCCATATGCCAGCTTCAATGCCACATCACAAATTAAGACAATTTGTTTGTTTGGTGTTGTCTCTCCTTTTAACATCAAGAGTGTTGGCACTTTATCTTATGCCATTACACAAGACATGCTTTTCCCATGATCGAAGAATTGTTTCTTCAAAGGTAAAGTGCGATCAAGAATCAAGTAATGTTACAGCTTTTGCCTCTTTGCATGTGGCATACAGTTGGGCTATTAGAGGTCTTTCCACGATCATTTTAGCCTCCATCTCTAGCAGCTTCCGTATATTAGGATACCCCTTTATTGACTGGAATGTGATATGTGTATGCCTAGTTTCTTCTTGTTCCATATTGTTGGCCATGCATTTTCCCTTCCAAAGCTTCTGACTTTGTGTAATCAGTGAGACACCAAAGAATTGCAGAGCTGATGAGCTTTTTTAGTAAGAAGACCACTTAGTGATACCTACACTTTGCAACTAGGCTTAGTCAAGACTCCTTGCTTGCTAATTTGTGTTAGTCAATTCAAGTTTTAACACTTTGTTTCTTAAAATGAACAATTATTTACTTCTCTTCACGCTGTCCAGTTCCAGCCTTAGCATGAGTATGCTCTTTTGGCTTGTAATTTGACTAAAATTGAAGAAAGAAGTAATTAAATCATTAATCTATGACATAGAGGGTGCTGGGAAAAACTGAGAATGGACTGAGGTATTGCAAGAAGAAATGCTACCATAATAATCAATTAGTTCTAATATCAGAAGAATCGCAACTGTTTTTATTTGCAATGCAGTAAAGATTTTCTATATTATGGAATTTCCACAATTATAAATTTTACTTCTATGTGTAAGCTTTAAGCTTTGGTTTTCTGCTTTGAGTTTATTCAAGGTATTTTGTGCTAAGTGACTTGCCTA